GTGGTGGATCAAAATCTGACAGGATTTTCTACTTTGTCCTTAGTTCTCAAATTTTAGTTTATGCAAGCCATGCCGTGTCAACTCTGAGGTCAATGCTGATATAAATAAGCCAAACAACAACACTGAAACATTCTGTCAAATCATTTGTTATTTGACTAAACAGCCATTTAAACTACACAAATTTTTATATCTCAGTTTGACTAAAGGTTAGTACACCAAATAAAAATTTGTTGGCTATTTTTAGAATTAAGATTTACATTTACAAAGAAGGAAAATGGCATCTAATATTTGAAAAAATACCATCTTTGCTACACAGTTGTAATCTATTAAAGGAATATTTAGATATTGTGGAAAATCCATGTATTTAGTCAGTACAAAGACTTGGGAACAGCTGGCTTAGCAGTGCCCAAAAGTGACAAAATAGTTTACCAGTACTGCTAAACATTTAACTAAACCACTGCATGATTTTTGTTTTGTTTTGTTTATTGTGCATAATTAAATTGGTGGAAAAAAAACGCATTGTATTTGGCAGATTATGGGACATTTTTCCTGCTGAATGTCTCAGTGGGCTGCCCATCTCTCAACAGGTGCTGCTGTGTGATTTATCGCAGTTTAAGTGGTCACAGCATGTTGCACTGCAGCTGCCATCACATCAGCGGTTTTTGGAAGAATATTGTTGGAAGTCTTTGGCCGAATTTACAAATCGTCAGCGGCACTTTTACACAAATTGGTGCACTATTTTCATTTTCCAGAAAGCCTAGGCCAGCTGTCTTCGCTATTGTCTCCCATTGTGTTGTGGTCTGACTTCACTCTGCAGTGAGGAGGAAAGAGGAAACTGATGCTGAGGCAGACACATTTGCAAGGTCTTAAGACTGCATAAAGACTTGCAATGTACAGGATCATAGCAGATCGTATTCTGTGGTAACAACCACTCACTTTACCCCAAAACGGCTCAAATTACTATGAGAACATAGAAGGCCCTCTGTGTCCCTCTGTGAAATACTTCTCTCAGGCACCTCTTTAGTAGTTTAATTGTTTTTCTCTGTATTTTAAGACACTGCATTTAGGAAAATGTACCTCTGGTTGTCTGTTTTGGTCAGGTTTCCCTTGCTACTATTAGTCTTCCTATTGCTTCTGTGCTGCACCCTAACACTAATCATGCCTATATCTGCCATCATAGCCAAACAATACCATAATCTGACATCCCAAGCATCTGTTAGTGGGTCATTATCATCCCTGAGTGCAAGCTGCCATCTGAGTCCCCCCTCCTGCTCTCAGCGCCATCCCTGAGCTCACTCTGTAACCCCTGGCTCGTTCCAGGCCCATAGAAGGTGTCCGGTTCCCTATACACCCCTCCATTTCTCCCAAACTGCAACAATACAGCAACTCTATCTCTGTGTTCACCTGTTAGCACCTGGCACCACGTCCACATCAGCCAAAGGCTTCTGCTCATCCCTGTCAGACACCATGTGGGACTCGCCTTCCTGTCACCAAACCCAACATCCCACACACAAAACACACAGGGGCACAATGAACCGCTCACCGCTCGCCTGTCAACACTTTCCCCTGACAGCCGAGCCATGCTAACATTATTGAGGATAAATGAAAAGTGCTTAATCAATCAATAATCCATCGGGTAATTACAAAAGCTTCAAGCATCATCTGGCACATGAGTCCTGAGTATGTACTACTTAAGAAATTAATTAGTAAGATAATGCTTTAAACAAGCAACCTCAGTTTCATTCATGCAAGTACGTTGAGTTTGAACTGCATGAACTTCTCCACTGTGCCTCTTATAAATCATATTTATCAACCACTAAATTACAGCAGCAAATGCATTTCGGATTATGGAGAAATAAGGAGCTTGGAAAGAAGTTCTGAACTGAAGAAGCTTCTTGGATGAGAAGTGAAACATCCAGCTGCTTTTTTTTTTCAAGTTCCTTAAACTATCATGACCTGGATGACCTACATGATGAAGAGATGCGTTACTAAGCCCCACTATCAAACCTCATACTCATCACATGTTGGCACTCAAAGCATTTAAGATTGTGATTTGTAGCCTAAACATACCAACACATTCGGTTCTGTAAACAAACCCCAGTCCTTGACATCAAGGTCCAGCATTTTGTACACTTGCCACTTCCCTCCAACTCGTGTGTGATATATAAATAAAGCTTTGTTCATTAAAAAGCCTGTGAACATCATCCAGCCCGCAATTACATATGTCATCACAACATAAATTGGAAAAGAAAAGGAAAAAAGATTTAGGACTGCTATGTGTGTGTGTGTGTGTGTGTGTGTGTGTGTGTGTGTGTGTGTGTGTGTGTGTGTGTGTGTGTGTGTGTGTGTGTGTGTGTGTGTGTGCTATACTTGCTTTCCAAACTTCACTTGTTGCTCAAAAAGTTGTGGATGGAAACTGAAGTTGAAGCTTTCATCGTGGCTATAATCACCTCCTGTCTGGTTTTCCTGGCTCAACTTTGCCTGGATATTAGTCTCTTGTAAGGGTCAAATCTGTGTCCTTCATCACAGTTTTGCTCAATAGGTTACACTTGACCTTGGGTTAAGAGTAGCAGCTCTTAACACACTATGTGCTGACAGTTGCAAAGATGAGAAAACTAATTTAGGCTGACATGTTGTTGCAGTTGCTCTCGACTGCTGATCAGATAACGAGGCACATCAGAGGAAGACCTCGGGCCCTGCACATCCTCTTGGCTGACTGGCATGATTGGGCCTGAGTAAAACTGAGCCGGAGCCAAGAAAGCCTGTACCTGTCAACATTATTGTTTCAGTAACTGATGCAATACCCATGTCAGTCATTCTAATTTTGGCTCTGAGTGCTGCAAGTGGTAACTAGTGCTTAACAAGTAACTTTAACACAATGAATGACCACAGTTTATTTCAAGAAAACAAGACAGAGTGCAACTCCTTGTGAATGTAAGCAGGGAAAGAAGAGTTTGTGATCTTCCATCCACTGACATTTTGACATACCAGCTTTGGCAGGTCCACTCAGACACACAATAATGTTCTGTTATGCTTCCGCAGACAGGCCTCTCTCGTCCCCTTTAAAGACGATACACTTTCACCACCACAAGTTCCCCGCTGCGCGTTTCATAAATGTTTATCCCACATGACTCTAGCCCCCTCCCCAAAAGTTTGCTTAGGATAGCTGCGAGCGCTGCCAACTCAGATGAAAGGGAAAGATTTAAAGAATGAAATATATAAAGCCTGCTTCGACATGCTTGGTTCGAAAGGTTTCAAACTCTTTTACAAAACCACAATTAACTCTTTACACAGTTCTCCACTGAGTTAAATAAGCAGGACTTGGAGTTGGGTAAAGAAAGAAAGTCAGTTTGACATTTTTTGACTTTACATGTAAATAGTTAATAATCTTATAACCTACAGGATGAATGGATTGGCATAAAATATCAGGAAAACACATAAGAGCTGATTCCAAAGGGGAAAAGCAATGGATAAACCCGCACCAGTGTTTGCTGATCACAGTATAATGAAAGATTGCTTAGAAGTGATCTACTTTTTCCAAACATGCTGAAAAGTCATTATTAATTAAACACCAGACTATGTGAAAACAAGCTGCAGCTGTCCTATAGATAGATTTTAATTTCTCAACATCAAAATGTTTGGTTGACTCTTGTGGCATGTGTGTGCCATTCTTAGAGAAGCAGGAAACTTTTTTTTATTTAAATATTTACTCATTCATTACAAAACAATAGAGGAGAAACAACAACACTACAGACAGCCCAGCGTCTCCTTTCAAACAGGCGGAGAGTGAGAGTGGTAATATTCACAGTTACTAGAGGAGAATGTAATGTCGCACTAAATTACAGTCATTGAAAGCTTGTATGGTTACCCAGCGATCTATCACTGTCACACAGAGGGGGAGAGGGGGCGGGAGAGCAGACAGGCGCCAGGCGCAGCAGGATCAAAGCAGGGACATACCTCAGGGAGAGAAACAGTTAACTCCATTTAACCAATTGTCCTACAGACAGTCATTCAGTCAGTGCGCTGCCGCTGCAGGCCCAGCAGCAGTTCCCATAAGAGAGAAGAACGCTCACATATAGAGTTTCACTGAAAATGATTTGACTTGATTTGAAGAGCTGCAGAACAAGGCCAATTTGGATGGGCTGCTTGAATGGGCCCTTTACTGTCTCTCAAAGGGATTACAGACAATGAACACAATAGGCTGAAATATGGCCATGGACAATTTGATTACAGGCCACAAGATAGAAATTTACAGTGATAATAACTCTTTGGAATATAAAGAGTGCTGTAAATCGCTGCCTGGATTGCCTTACTGCTTTAATGAAACCTGGTGAAAAACTACTGTCAACACATTCTCCGGTACAACTTCCCAGAAGGGGCCCAAAGAGAAGAATTTGTGTGACATATATCTGGTGAGGTTTACATCTATTAAACTGTGAATGGATTTATGACACAATCACAGCACCACATGGTAAATATTTTTAAAAACAAATAATTACACTATATACACACCCAGAAGGCACGCACCAAATCTTAGCACTCATTTAGAGTCCGTTTGTGTCCACCTGATGTCTTTGTATGCGCAACCCATTTTCTGGTTCTGTTTTGTTGTCTACCAGTTCAGAAAGGGAATATTTGACTATTTAGGCAAAGTTGGGATTGTAAAGCAGAAAATTAAAAACACAAAAATGCTCTGTAAGAACTGAAGGGGACAAGCATGGGCGAATTGATAAACTCTAAATAAAAATATTAACCAGTGCAGATTTAGATTTGGATTCCAGCAAAGAGTGTTTAAAAGGTAGGAACTGCACATCTGTCCTACCTTACATAGAATAACTCGAGCTGTGCCACTGACGAGAGGTTTATATCTGTCAGAAACCACAGCATATAAAATGGACCGCAACACTGTCTTTACAAATTCGGCCTATCAGAAACCGCTTTAGCCCGGTCACGTGGAAACATCTAAAGCCTGATAGGCAGGCGGCAAGATGGAAGGGGAACTTGTGGCACTGCGCTAACGGAGAGACAAGTCTGTGCGTAAAAGCCTGAAAAACACACAGCTGTAGCGTCATCGGAGAAACATCTGCACTAGCACTTATCTCCTCAAGAGAAGCCACGAAAACATAAACAGTGTCGGAGAGAGCGGCAGGAAAATTAGTTGTATGGCACCGCAGTCGTGCGTAATGAATCCTGCGCAAGGATCACCGCCCGTGGCTGCTCCCGGGGAGACTTCGCCGGAGGATAGAGCCGCTGATGGAATTGGAACTGATGAGCTGGACCTGTCACCTGTTAGAAGGTGTAAAACCAAAAGTTCAGATCTGCCTTTCAGTGTGGAATCACTCATATCAGACAGGACGCCGTGCAGAAGCCTCCAAGACTCAGAGCCTGGCTCGGGTTGCGTCCGGATAGAGGACGCAGATTGTGCGTCACAGAGAGGATTTTATCGGTCTAAAGCGGAGGCGGTGGACCTCAGCGACAAGGAGACGAGCTCCTGGTTGCAGGCGCCTTGCGCATCCCCTCCAAGTGAGTGTAGAATGCGCTATTGCGACATTTTGTGCGATATTTAAAACAAAAACGTCAACAACTTGTATAGACATATTCAAAGAAGCATAAACAAAATGACTGCTAAACGATTGTATAAAATATTATAATTGTCTGTAATAAAACTATTAAGAGCCAACAGTGAGAGGGAGCTTGAACTTTCCTCCAAAGAGTAAATAACGGCAAAGGTGCACTGACTGTAGAATAGTTAGGATATTAAAAAGCTTTGATATTTCCCCGATCTTTCAGATTATAGTCTATGCGCAATCAAAAATTAAACTTCAAACAATCACTAGTTATGCTATTAAATCGATCGCCGAAGTTCTAGCAGTGTACATAACTTCTTAATTGTATTTCCAGGACTTCCCAGCCCCAGCCCGTGCAACCTACGGAAACACAAGAACAACAGGAAACCCAGAACTCCCTTTACAACCTCTCAGCTTCTTTCACTGGAGAGGAAGTTCCGACAGAAACAGTACCTCTCCATCGCGGAGAGAGCGGAATTCTCCAGCTCCCTCGGCCTCACAGAGACCCAGGTCAAGATCTGGTTTCAGAACCGCAGGGCCAAGGCCAAGAGACTGCAGGAGGCCGAGCTGGAGAAACTAAAGCTGGCCACGAAGCCGTTGCTCCCGGCCTTCGCCTTTCCTTTCCCCTTGAGCGCACCAATAGGCGCCCCGGCGCTATACGGGGCCCTGAACGGACCTCGGCCTGCCTTACCCGTACCAGGACTATTCAGTGGACCATATGGGATGTACTACTTGTCCTAACTCATACTAACTTTTAAGCTGCTTCGTTGGGGAAACTGCCTTAGCTTTATCCAGCAAAAAATATTCTTATGAAATAATCTGTCTGAAATCTCACATTGAATGAAATGTTTTTCGTTAAAGCGCTAATGGGGAAAGAATAATATAATAACCCACAGCAGGGATATGTTAACATAACAGTCTCGCTTCATTTTAAAGCTGTTCATTATTTCCAGGAACAAAAACAAAACAGTTGATTGCCTTTTTTATTTTCAGCTGTCCCAGCTCAGGTATGCTTCAGTTCCAGTAATTTTACTGTAGTAAGAGAAGACCACAGAAGACGATTTTTTTCAGAGCCTGTTGCTTTGAGCTGAAAGCAAAAACTTGTAATGACGCACTAAAAGACAACGGCTTGTTCATTATTTCTATTTTAAATGCTTTGAAATGTCCCGCCTCTTCAAGGAGAGTTTTAATTTATAGAAAAAATATTTAAATGACAGTTTTGCTGACTTTCTATATTTTTCTGATAGTCATTTCTGATTTATCTTATTCATGTATGCCACAGAGCTCGAATGTTATCCAAAAAGAAACGTATGGTAGATTAATTCGGGGGTTTTTTAATGGGCATAACCGCTCATTTAGAAACAGCTTCACAAATAACGGGAATCACTTTGACACTTTAATGTTGCAAAGATGCGAAAGTGATGGTTGAGAATCTGTGGATTTGGTGTTTTAATAGGGTCTCTGAACTTAAAATGGAAATATAGAAAATTAAAGTTATCCTTTAATCACTTCCTGAGGTGAGCCCTGATGCTGTAAAACTCTAAAAAGACTTTAAAGGCCTTTCCTCTTCAACAAAACAAAAACATACATATTTAAAGAATGTCGTTTCTACACGTTGCATCTTTTGTGCCTTAGTTCTTCAGTGCTTTACATTAACTGGGGTGAGAACCAGAAGATCTTTAAAGGTTAATTTACTGTAACAATAAGATTTAAGTTTCCAGCTCGTTGACAACTGTGCTCATTTCATAAATACAATAAACCTGCTTTACTTACCTCAAAAGGAGAATGTTTTTGCACAGGTGTCAGAAGAGCTCTCGAGATCAGCTTCATTACTAAATGTAGATAACTCCTCGTGTAGTTTTGCAAACACTCCAAGTGTTGAACGTGGCAGACCAACTTACATGAGCTATTAAGGTACAGTGTATTTTATATTTCAAGAGTGGAAGATGTTTTGTACAAGTATTAAAGTTTATTATGGAAATCCCTGACATTCTCTTTTGTTTCTCCTAACAAAAAATTTAAAGTGGGCTCCAAAAACCTGCTTTTTTATATTGAAAACACAGCAGTTAAGTATTACTGCATCCTTTTTTATATATATATAAAACTCTAATAAATGCCTTTTCAGTTTTTCCAGTCAAATTGTGAATGGGTAAGTGTTGGTTGTTGTGTAAATGCAGCACTGCTCTGAGGGATCAGCAACACCAGAACAGCACCACATGAATGCAGTTCATTTACCACAAACAAAAAAAAAACAACAATTAAAAAAAAAAGGAAACTTGCAATTTTTGCAAAATAAAACTGTTTTTTATTTCAGGTTAAAAACATCTATGACTGTGAAGGTATTCTGTACAAAGGTTATAACGCTGTAAATCTGAAAGGCCAGAAAATAGCAGCCTTGACTTTGATGCTTCACTTCCTCCTTCCTCGTCGTCCTCTAAAGCCTCGGACCGAACCGTGACCAAAACACACAGTGTTGGGGATCCTGAGAGAAAAGAGCACAGCTGCTCAATTCTGGGCCTCAGATTGCTTAGTTTTAAATGCTAAAAAACTGTAGTACACATGTGCTGTAATCAGTACTTTACACATATTTAACTTATATAATATTCTGGATTTTTTTTTATTGCAAATTTCTTAAAAATGGCTGATTTAGTTTTAACACATACAGATTTGAAGGCTAACCTGTAGGAATACTGAGGCTTTCGTGGCGCTGTGCTCTCAGTGTCCTGGGCTGCAGCAAGAACGTCCTCGGTAGTGGCTTTTTCCTCACACTCGTGTGTCTCCATGGATTCCCCTCCCTCGGGTTCGTCGGACGGAGAGTTACACATAACCTCACAGACACCCTCAGACTCACACACATCATCCACCACCTCCATGGCTGCGTCTTTCTGCTCCTTTCTTTTTGTCTCTCGTCTTCTATTAACAAAGATACAATATTTAAAATACGCATAAGGCAAACATATTAAAGTGATGCTATTTTAAACTGCGCCTTTCACAGAGTTAGAAAAATAATACAAAAATACAAATTTTACACATCAGCATCAATAAAGAAGCAAAAAAATCTTATGGTATAATGTGTCTGATCTTATCATGTCACTAAATAAATAATAAAAGAGACATGTAGAGTGTAATGTAAGAATATAAAGAGTAGATAAGGCAATAAGGAGATTGACTAAAAGTCATAATTTGACATTTTGCTACCATCTAGTGGACAAAACACAGCCTTACCCTCGTTCCTTTTTGGTTTTATCGAATCTGAAGTCTGGAGGATACTTGTGAATTCTTATTAAATGGTCCTTCCTGTGTTTATTAGTCCTGAAGGTCTGTCCACAGCCTTCCACCAAACACTGGTACTGAAAAATGTGAAGAAAATGTCATTGTTCTTCAAAAAAATAAAAAAAATAAAAAAATCTCCTAACAGCAGAGCTCTATTTGACACCGACTTACCATGTCCTGTTTCTGGGCAAGGATAGTAAAGAGAGAGTCATGCCACTCCTGAATGTGAATGTCCAAGAGCCGGGCGCTCGGCAGGGAGCGGCGGCATGAGCAGCACACGTGCCTGTGCAGGGCGTTGTAGTGGTGCTCGTACTCCTCCAGAGCACTGAAGACCCCACTGCAGCCTGAGATGTGACAGGCAAACTCGGACACGCTGACACAAGACAAGAGGAGGAGGAAGGTTATCAACAGTCTGACCAACACTGAGATTACAAGTCATCAGTCAAGTAGAAAATCCAACATGGTTGCTAAATAATGATCCCTTCTGGGGCAAATTTGTCATTTTACTGAATATTTTTAGCATTTCTCAATTAAATATGTCCAAGTGCATAATCTACTACTGTTGCAATCATCTTATTTGACTCGTTTTATTTCTAAATATGATCGCTTATTTTATTTACAAGTAATCAGCTTCCCAAAATCCCAAAAATGAAATGTGGGATTAATGTGTTATTTTTTTTTGTCATTGTGCAAATATAGTGATTATAACATCCACATGAACGGAATCAACTTCATGGGATTTCCTTACCTGGATGGACATTAAGACACCAAAGGACAAATAGTATGTGGGGCAGGTTAATATGGAAGCCTGTTTCTGCCACTGAAAAAACCAAACATTTTTGGTGATCCATAAGTCAAAATTTTCAGGTTATTGTCTCAAAATTTCAAATTATGAAGTCAAATTTTGAATTCTTTTCTCAGACTTTTGAGTTGGTGACTCAAAATTGTGAGATAATAACCCCAAATCTTTATTTACAGGTAGGTTTTTTTTTTTCAGCACTAGAAAGGACTTTCCATAGATGAGTCATGCTCACAGGAATTTAGGATGAAATAAATATGTAAAAGGATGTTGAAAGTCAGTTATGCAAGTCTTCTGGCTCCTGTATTTTCCTTTTTGTTTCATTAACCTTTATCTCACTTAGTGTTTCGTCAATCTATGGCAGATTTCTCTCTGAGCAACAGATTTTTACAGAGACTCGCAAATAACGGACAAAAACCTTCCTAGTCTTGATTGTAGTTGCATTTGTTTTTACTTGTACTTCTCATCATATCCCATTACAAATCTGACTTTGTGGTGCAAGCTTAGGGGATGAGAGAGAGATCCAGGATGAGATCCTAGCATGTTCACCTGCAGGAGAGCCATGATGAAAGCTTTTACTGATTTCTTCACAACCATGGGGGGGTGTCAAAGTCTGTGCAGTCACACATAAAGAGTGACACCTGCTCACCCTAACAACAACATGAAAATGTAATTTGAAAGTTTCAGGAGACATTTTAAAGGATGAGTGTGTTAACCCATGCATTGGCAAATGTAAATTATGTGCTGTTTAAAGGTGACCCATGCTCATAGCTAGCTAGCTAGATAGATAGATAGATAGCAAGCACTTATATCTCCTGCCTCCCTCACCTGAGTGCTGGCTTGTCTTCTGCCTCCGAGATGTACAGGTCCTGCAGGTACATGTGTCTGTGAATGTCCCCGTCCTGCAAACAGCATTCATCTGCACGTTACAGCCGTTAGCAGAACGAGCAGCTGCCTGCTTTTCTGCTCGGTTTCTTGGTGCTTGGTTACCTCAAACAGCTCGTGGTCCTTGTGCAGGCGGATGATCTGCGGCGTGAAGCTGAACGGGTTGTTTCCCTCCTCGGACTCACTGAGTCTCCGCTCCTGCTGTTCATCGCGTCCCTCCGTCCGAAGCTGGAGTGCTTCTGGCTGCAGCATCGCTTCTACACGTTTTCATTGGCCGGGCACAGAAACACTCGTTCACTATTATAACGTTATCAAGTCCAATGGTCGCTACGATGTTACCTCTGGGAGAAGGGTCTGGCTGCAGCCACTGTGGAGCTCCACAGTAACCGGATACACGTGACCTCCACAGTAACCGGAAGCACGTGACCTCCACAGTAGCCGTAAACACGCATGGATACCGTGGAAGGTTTTTTTGTTTTTTTTATTTATAAACCTTTATTTAAACATCAGTACAATACAAAATGGAATTAAACAGTACTACAATAATGGTGTTGTACTTACAAAAGAATTGTATGCATAGATAAACAAATACAAGAACAGTATTCAGAAACAACAATATAAATATGCTAGGGGGAAAGTAACTGATCAAGCCAAAGACTAAAGTGATTGAAAGATCTTGATTTTTTCACAAACACCAATAGTTTTTATAGTTTTTGGGTTAGTGGAGTTCTTAATTGAGTTAAGATACTGTACAAGTTCAAAGGAGAATACATAAAAAGAGGGATGTCTTCCTAAACATTTGGACTTGTGAATATGAAATTTAGCCATTAAAAGTAACAAGTTAACCATATATCTGTTATCAAAGTTGAATTGTTTTTGGTTTTTGTGCAGACCAAACAAAACATATTTCCAAAACAATAAAAATCTTTTAATATATTTTCTGAAATAAAAACACATAAACTCTGCCAAAAATCTTGTACAAGGTTACAAAACCAAAAAAGATGTATAGTAGATTCCTTGGAAGTTTTACAAAAGCTACAGCTTGTATCAATGTCTAATTTGAATTTGCTTTGAAGATAATCTTTAGAAGGATAAATTCTGTGTATTAATTTATAAGAAATATCTTTAATTTTGTTGGTAATTAAAAACTGATTAGGGAGTTTCCAAACTTCGTTCCACATAATACCATCTGACAGCCGGTTCCAGAAAAAAATGACATATGGTAGCGTGGTTATGGTACTCTGAAATAAAGCTCTAATCGATTTATTGTTGTTTTTAGATTGCTTAGAAAAGCAAATTTTGCCAACAAAAGTTTGTATGGGAGATGCCAACGGCCTGTGGAATGAAGTGATATTAGGTTGATTCTTAAACAGCATACAAACCCCTGATGGTATTGAGCCAAATACTTTGGTATAATCATGACGAGTTATAGCTAAATTGAAATGTAAACAAAATTCTTCATCGGAGAAAAGAATACCATTTGAATCAAATAATTGGTTGACTAAAACAATGTCATTCCTAAACCAACTATCTAAGAAGAGAGATTTTCTTTTAAATAAAACATCCTTATTATTCCAGATATAATAACTGTGTGGACTAAATGCTTGTAAATAAGAGTCCATGCTAAAAAAGCTTTGCGATGAAAAGCAGAGATTTTTATAGGGATTTTATCAATATCAAACTTACAAGTAAGGAAAAATTCAGTGCCACCTAACTTAGAAAACATGAACACAGGTATAGTATTCCAAATGGAAGTAGGATTAGTAATTAGATTCTTCAACCAATTTATTTTGAATGTGTTATTTAAAGTGTTAAAATCCAACACATTAAGTCCTCCATTGACATAGGAGTTCATAAGAACTGTTTTTTTAATGTAGTGTGTCCTATTTTTCCAGATAAAGTTGAAAAGTAACTTATCAACCTCTTTTATAAGTTTTTTATCAAGGTGCAATGCCAATGCAGCGAGAGATGCCTTCTGCTTTAGTTATTAATACCCTGCCTTTTAACGACAAATCTCTTAAGAG